ACCTGTCTCCTGTATCCATCTCAGTATCGGAGATGGGTCGCGCCCTCTAATAACAAAACAGTGTCCGGTTCAGAATATGAGAAGGGTTCGTTCTCTACTCGTGTAAATAAATATCAGTCTCAGGCCGGGGTGATGAAGGCTGCACCCTCTTGCAATCCAAACTAGAGTCCATATCAGACTCAGGGTGACCAACTGCAGGGTACACCATTTAATAATATCAGCGTAGGTCCTGAGGGGGGTCCCTCTGACCACGAGACCCCTCTCTGAATCACTCACCTGAGAGGTGGGATCAACCGGTAATAAACCCGACCAAAGGTAGATGGGTTGCCACTAGGGCATGAGGTTTAGGGCATTCACCCTTCCAATCACATTTAGGTGGCCGTATACTGGTGTCCTCTTGGACAGTATGGCAGCAGTGCTTGCCTGGACACCCCTTATCTCCATGTCAATAGTGGGTACTGGACTGTCCTCCGTGATATTCCCCCTGGCCTGCGGCCAAAAGGGGGTTTGGGCACCGATAGATCAGGCCAAGCAATGGGCAGATATAGCAGGCCAATCAATGGGGCATAGACATAGCTAGCCAATCAATGGGGCACAGACATAGCAGGCCAATCAATGGGGCACAGACAAAGCAGGCCAATCAATGGGGCACAGACATAGCAGGCCAATCAATGGGGCACAGACACAGCAGGCCAATCAATGGGGCACAGACACAGCAGGCCAATTACAGGTGTAGTGTTCTGCCAGCAGCAGGAGACCAAACTGCACGGATAGAGGGAGCTCTCTCTCTATATATATATATATATAGAATCTTGGGTAATTGGGTGCAAGCCATACAGTATACCAAAACCACATGGTAGCGAGAAAGTGTGCTAATAGCACTAACATAGGAACTCTGGCAGTAAGCAGGAAAAACATCCAGTAGTGTATATGGTCTCATGAATTCCTGTCACAATATGCATGTACGTTATGATAATGTGTAGGTAGCATAATCCAATCAAATTCGCCTATTAGCAAAGCTAGTTGCAGAAGGACTGGAAAAATAAAAATTTTATTTGCCATAATATGATAATACCCTCTATCTATTTCGATAAGGTTAGAAGACCTTTATTATATGACAGTGTTTTAAATTTCTGTCATTCCTGAAATGACTTGCCTTAGGGCGAACTATTTCCTGTCATCTTTATGGTGTTATAGCCACCTACAACCAAGCCAGCTATTACAGGACGTACCATCAGGTCCTAGTCACTAAGTGCTCCTTCGTGATGCCCAGGATCGGAAGGTGAGTATTTATCCGGCGGGGGGGGCACAAGCAGGTGCAGCCTCCCTCACCCGGACGGACACACGTGGTGCGCCTTGAGAGCCGGCTGCTGTAAGCAGCCATGCAGGCAATAAGTTCCGGCCGCCGGGTGCTCACACTGCTCGCGAGCACTCCAGGGCCGGTAACCCGCTTCCTGGACCGTCGGACCTTCACGCCGCGATCCCTGCGCTCGGAGGTCTCATAGGGGGCTGGATGCCTAAAGCCTCCTGAGACCTCCAAACAGCATAACCCGCCGAAAGTAGATTGCAATGACGGTGAAAAAATGCTCAGCAACCGAGACTGAAAATTATTTGTTCTAAATAGAAATTCAATATATCTTAAATTCTCTAGGTCCCCAAGTGCCCCTGACGCGCGCGTTTCGCCCACAACTCATCAGAGGGGATTGCAATCTATAGGAACTTTGGCTATTTTAACATTTGCAGCAATCTCTCTAATTTTTGCTATCTGCACAGTACCAATAGCCCTCCTATTGTTCCCACAGCAATAACGGTCTCTCTCCTTTTTCTACAGAGGTGGTCTCATTGCGCTTTCCTCTACATTACGTTTAGTAATTGACTATTCTAACAAGAGCGCTCTGGCTCATATACATCGCTCTACACATTTTATTTTCGACTATCCACCAGAGTTATAGTTCGAGTAGGGAAGCCAATATCTACTCCTGTCTCTAGCTGTTACAATATTGTTATTTTGAGTGTAATTACCGATGGGTTACTTTTAATATACAGTGATTATCTTCGTATCATTTTCTACAGCTAGAGTTATTTGAACCGACCCCTGTGGATTGCAAAACTTTGTTTTGCACACTTTACTGGGAATAGGTTTCTGAAAACTTATGAACAGAACCTCCCAATGATGTACTAATTATTTAGATTGTACATTTGTATCAGGCTTTTGAGTTAATATACATTCTTTGCCTTGTTTTAACCCTTTATTTTGACCTCTGCCGACAAATATGATTTAGGGCAGTCCTCATTAGAGAACAATGTGGTACATTTTACAATAGGATTTATCTCAGCTCTGCCTATTTTCTGATTGACAAGCTATCAATCAGATTACCAACATATCGGCTTATCCCCATACTTATAAATATTGACGTACATATATTTTAGTAATTAGATATCTCTTCCCTACGATTTCACTTTTTAATATTACTATTAAAAGATATATTTTATTAGTTAGGTCACTCATTTCTTTGTTTATTTATCGCCTGTTAGGTAGAGTTTGATAGTGTTATAGGATAATTTTAGGGTGGCAAAAGAAGTGAAACCCAATAAAGACTCCATTGCCACTCGTCGTGAATATGAAAGTCAATAGTGAATTTGGTGAAAAGGTGGTCGAGGCTCTTTGCGTGCGACAACACTTTAAAATAATTTATTTTTTATTTTTTTTGAAAAACCTTTTCATTTTATTTAAAATCTATATTGAGTTTTATACAATGAAAGCAAAGGAGGGTTTTATATATTTATTTATAAAATATTTTACCAGGAAGGATACATTGAGATTTCTCTCATTTTCAAGTATGGCTTGGGCCCACAAACACTAGAATCAAACAAAATGTTGCATGAAAAGGAGAGGGTGTGGGGGGGGGGGGATGATTGGTTAATTTAAAAAAAAATCCTTTGTTGCCATTAATTGAAATCACACTACATCAGTTAATCAAAAATGAGTTACTAACCCCTTGTTAATATACAAAAAAGAAAAAGAGAAAACAAAATTAACACACACTAAATAATATTAGTTTACATCAGGCGAGTCCAACCCACGGCCCTGAACGACTTGTAATGTGGCCCAGTAAGTAATGGGCGGTGAGTAAAAACATGGAGCCCATTAATTACTGTGCTCTTTCTGCACTCCTCCTTCGCGCGTCCTGCAGTAGGCCAACAGCTGTTATATAACATCATCCCAGCATCATCATCACTACTTGGACAGCCCCTCATCATATAGGACACCTGAATGACTACACATCAATTGGATAATGAGTTTGGAGGAAGGAGCCTTAGGACCTTCTATACATGTGAACCAGGAAATAATGCTTACACCAACTGAGGAAGCCCTATCTGCAAAACGCATCTTGGATGTGATACATTTTTTTATTTTTTTTAAGTGCGTCGGTTATTATGGATTTTTATTTGGCCTTTTTTGGTTTAGATGAAAGAAGACATCAAATGGTAGTCTATTTTTTTTTACAGGTATTTAGATAAGGGTCCCCCCTAATTATTTTTAGGATGAGGGGGGTAGGTAGGGGTAATATTTTTGGAGGGAGGGGGGTGACTAGGGGTTTGGGGGCCCCTAGTCACCTGGGGGGGTACATTTTTATTTAAGGCCCCCACCTGCCGCTCAGGGGTGGGGTCCAGGGGGAGGACATTAGGCTTCCCCCTTATTGTTATTTAGGGCCCCCAACCGCCGCGCAGGGGTGGGGGCCGGGGGAGAAGACATTAGGTCTCCCCCTTATTGTTATTTAGGGCCCCCACCCGACGCGCAGGGGTGGGGGCCAAGGGAGAGGACATTAGGTCCCCCCCTCTTATTGTTATTTAGGGCCCCCACCCACCGCGCAGGGGTGGGGCCGGGGGGGAGGACATTATGTCCCCCCTTATTGTTAATTAGGGCCCCCACCCGCCACGCAAGGGTGGGGGCCTGGGGGGGAGGACAGTAGGCCCCCCTTATTGTTATTTAGGGCCCCCGCCCGCCGCGCTGGGGTGGGGGCCGGGGGAGGACAGTAGGTCCCCCCCCTTATTGTTATTTAAGGCCCCCACCCGCCGCTCAGCGGTGGGGGCCGAGGGGGAGGACAGTAGGTACCCCCCTTTTTGTTATTTAGGGCCCCCACCCGTCACACAGGGGTGGGGGCAATAGGTTTTTTTCTGTTTTTTTTACAGTGAGCAGCCACAGACTGCTCACTGTTTACCAGACATGCCCCTACTCGCGGTATTGCGAGTAGGGGCTGAATTTACTAATACTAAGTAATCTTTACTTAGTATTAGTAAATGTGGCTGAAAGACCAATTTAGGTCTTTCAGCCTTTTGGTAGATAGTTCCCTAATCCTATGGGAATTAGGGAGTTATCTACTAAGCGGCTGCTTATTTTATGTATTTTATGTTATTTTAAGTGATTTCCCTATCCACATTTGTTTGCAGGGCTCTTGTCCTACTCTTAACCCCCATTTTACTTCCTTTTGCAGCCCTCTAGCCCTTTCCAGGAGTTTTTTAGAGCCATTTGTGTGCCCAAAAGTTCGGGTCCCCATTGACTTCAATGGGGTTCAGGTTCGGAGTCAAGTTCGAGCCCGAACCTGGACTTTTTTTCAACATCCAGGTGTCTGCTCAACTCTAGTGGTGGGTTATATCGCCTAAACATTGAGTTTAAGTTTTTGTGCTTGATTTTTGGGATATCCACTGAGCGATCTACAGCTGCTCTCATTATAGTTCACTTGTTTTTCATAAGTGCCTATATAGCACACGTGTGTATACTTTTTTTACGTACGTAAGTGAGAGTCGGTCCCTAGACAGAAGTAAACTTGACAAACCTGACAAATCACTCATCCTGTTCTCCTTTGACAGATTTAATTAGGGATTCTGGTAATATAGACAGGGAGATCCACAGAGTAGTGATGTCCCGAACGGTTCGCCACGAACGGTTCGCCACAGACTCATCATTGAGTAAACTTTGACCCTGTACCTCACAGTCAGCAGACACATTCCAGCCAATCAGCAGCAGACCCTCCCTCCCAGACCCTCCCACTTCCTGGACAGCATCCATTTTACATTCATTGTGAAGCTGCATTCTTAGTGAGCTGTCCAGGAGGTGGGAGGGTCTGGGAGGGAGGGTCTGCTGCTGATTGGCTGGAATGTGTATGCTGACTGTGAGGTACAGGGTCAACGTTTACTCAATGATGAGTCCGTGGCGAACCGTTCGTGGCGAACCGTTGGCGAACCGTTCGTGGCGAACCGTTCGCGAACTGTTTGGCGAACCGTTCGGGACATCACTACCACAGAGTAGTCTCAGCTCAAGGAAGTAAGGAAGCCTCCAATTGCATATTAGTCTGGTCAGTTTTGTTGCCCAATGTTGTTCCATCATACGCCAGGTTGTAACTATAAGTGGTGTTGATGCATCTGTGGTGGAAACAGAAAGGCGGCAGTGAAGACAGTTACACCGTCTGATGGCTCATCTTATAGAGAGGAGTTTAGTGTGTGTCTTCTGCCTGTTGTGAATAATGGGAAGACAGCTTCCAATGCAACACATAACCAGGAGACTTGTGTGTCTCCTGGTTATGTGTTGCATTGCAAGCCGTGTTCTCATTATCACAATAGAACCATTGCCTGTCCTCTCATTAGTGGTGACATGGACCTCAGACTTTTGATGGAGCAGCACATACTACCAGAAATCAGAGCATAACTGCTCACATGCTTCTAAAAATCCAGACTGTGTAGATCTTCCCCGCTCCACAGAAGCTTCCACCATTGTTTCAGCTGACATGCATGGAACATGCTCACACACCATACTAGGCAAGGGGGGATGAGGGAACTCTGCTGAGGAGTTCAGCTCACAAGACAAGGTGGAGGGATTGGCTGCCTCCCTTTCTCCTGGGTCACCTAGTAAGTTGCAAAGCCCGTTTCCACAGAGAATTGCCAAAAGTGATCAGATCTGGCTTGAAAGTGCTGGATTAAGGAGTCCACAATATTGTAGATTAGCTGTGGCAAAATTGTTGCCATCTTGTTCCCACGAATGCAGGGAGTATGGTCGTCGAGTGCATGGAACTAAAATCGGCACTCAATCTCACAAACATCACTGAACTTCCATCCCCACCTGCATTCGTTTTTATACATCTGAGAAGAACACTGTTCGGTGTAATCATTTACGTGAATCAGGGGCAACCAATCAGCATACAGGTTAAAGCATCCATTCGGTATTTTGTGCGTTTTCGTGCTCCCAAAAGAGACCGGCCGCTAGACCGGATTCTATGGAACTATTTTTGGCAGGAGCCTTGTGTGCGGTCAGTCAAAACTTTACCATGGTGGTGTTTCGGTTGTGTTCTTGGGATCTGAGTTCTTTTCTGATATGTTGTGCGCTCAGATACAGGGATATAAGAATTGAGGGTGTGCATGGTTATTTTATGTGTTTTTTAGGGTGTTTAAAATATTGTAGATTTTTCTCTACCTGAGAGATAATTTAATTATATGTTTTCCCCCCAGGTAATTATCTCTCAGGCACAGAGGATCATGGGAAGGATTACCCTGTAAGTTTTATGGGAAACCCCATGTAGGGGCTTTAGCATAAAAGGTTGTGTGTGGTCCTGAATAAACCAGTTGACTCTCAGAACTGGGTGTTGTCCGGTTACTGGGGGATCGGGCTATATCTGCTAAACAGTGCTTCCTTTCCAGCTTTAGAGAACCCCAGCAGAGATTTTGGATTTTTCTATTGCAGCTCCGCTACAGTAGCGATAAGGAGAATTGTCATGAATAACTCAGGTAAATCTCACTCAATTAGATGAAAAATAAATTTTCCTCTGTGAGCTCATACACTATGAATCTGAATCTCTTGGTAGTTGGCAGTCATGGTCTGCCCCCTCTTTCTTTAACAATTAACTTCAAATCAGGTTTATAAAAAACTCTCCATCTTCATCAGTTCAAAGCAATCATGAGGTGGATTCGGATCATGGTCTGTAGGGGGAAATTGCGGTGCATGCAGCTTCTGCGTGGAATTGGGGATAGCCAATTACTTTCCAGTTCAGGGTTTGATTGATGATACCCTTTTCAGAGAGCTGGGTCTGGTTTTCAGTGTTCCACAATTTTGCCATAGGGCCAAGATCTTTCCATGAGATCTGAGGTGACTTGGTTATAGAGATGTGTGGGACGGCTGTGTCCTAGTGATGATACAGATGAGTAGCTTCCGGGGGCAGGAGGACTAGAGCCATGCTGTTGCCCTTGGAATCGCAGAACAGATCTGTTATGGTGAATGCCACTTCCATCAATAGGAACAGGTCTTCTTCATAGTGTCAGGTCCTGGGGTGGGTTTGTACCACAAGGTGCAGTGAGGGAAAGCATGAGTATCATAGACGAAGGGCATGGTTTGGACCCTTCTGATTTTAGTCAGAAAGAAACAGCTGAAGATTAGGTCCAGACTGTACCAATACTGTGCAGGTCCCCCCTCGGGAAGTGGCAGAAGAGTGGCCGGGTTAAGGGAGTAACATCTCTGTAAGGAAACATTGCCTGGTAGTGGTAGAGTACATTGCAAGTGGAGGTGGCGTGCAGAAGAGAGATGCTTGAGTTGGACTTGATTAAGGATAGCAGCAATATCATGAGGGGCAAGGATGACAAGAGGATGGCCAAGTACCAAGTCATTGGTTTTGTCAATGAGAGCATGTGCAGCAAAAACAGCTCTGAGAAAGGCTCTTGCTACAGCATCCAGTTGGCACGAGAAAAAAATCCAATGGGGGGTTCACGTGATCCATAAGTGAGGACTCTAGTAGCATGTCCCACACAGTCCCGGGTGAGATGGCAGGTACCATATGAGAGACAGTGTCCTAGGAAAATCACAGAGGGCACCACTGCAGCTTCTGTTTTGACGCCTTGCATCCTTGTTCTGCGAGGTAGCAGAGAAGATCTTCAGAAGCACGTTGGGAGGACATCAGCACATATTGAAGCAGGACCACATCAGTGTGGGCTTCTTGCAATGAGTCCAGAATTGAAGCCATTGCCTTTGCAAACTGACTGGGAGAATTTTGTGCTCCTTGAGGCATGACAGTCCAGGTGTATTGCTGACATTCATGGGTGAAGGCAAACAGATATCCAGGGGTACACTGAAGAATGCATTAGCCAGATCCACCACTGTGTGGGACCCCAGACAGAAGTATGTGGGTTAGGTACAATGGGGGTATCCAGAACAGTTGCTTCATTAACAGCCCGGAGGTCTTGAACCATACTGGTTTCTTCTTCACAGGGAACAGGGACGTGTTGCAGGGAGACTCACAGCGTACCAAGACACCATTGGACAGGAGACTTTTAACCTGCTGAGAAATAGCAAGGGCCTGAGCAGACTTCAGAGGGTATTGCGGTTTACGGGGTAGACAGGCCCCTGGGATGAGCTTTACCAGAACTGGGGGAACACGGAGGTGGCCAATGTCCTCTGGGCCTGTGGACCACAGCTTGGGAGGAATTCTGGAAAAAGTACTGGGGGAGGTGTCTAGTACCCTTGCATTCTTGGCAGGCTCCTCCAGGTGGAGTAATAGGGGTCGTGAGCAGAGAGCTGATGTATCAGCAGCAGACAGGGGAGAAAAAAATATTTAAATCTGGCCATCAGGGATAAAGGTGATAGAGGCCTGCAAGCGGGAGAGAACATCTGCACCTAAGAAGTTAATTGGGCAGGTAGAGGACACAACAAAATGGGCCAGGAGATCAGGGAAGGTGCCAACCTTGAGGGGCTGTTAAAAGGCTATTTTGAGGAGTGCCATCTACCCCTACACAAGAGACATCAATATTAGACAGGAATGAGGAGCCAGGCAGGTCTTGCTCTCTAAGGACACTTCTGGCTGCACCCATGTCAACTAAGAAGGTGCTAGGGTGGTGACAGGACTCTAGATTGAGGGTGAAGTAGAACTGGTTTAATGAGCATACAAGTCTTTCTTAAATACACATTTCCCCACAAGGTTACCACCCACGTGGACCATGTGGAACACAGGACACAAAGTTACAGCAGCCAATCAACACAGTACAGTACAGTCAGACACTCCCAGCTAATGCACACACACCCTCCCCTCTGCCTGTGATACAATTAACAAACACAATGAGCTAACAATTATCACAGGTAGAAAATAAACAGTTTTACCCAAAGTCTAGAAACACCCCAAAGCACAAACATATCCCCATAAATCCTACATCCCTGGATAGCCCTGATCTGGGTGAACAACATATCCAAAAGTCACCCAGATCAGAGCAGGGGTTCAAAAGTTTTATGGAAGTCATATTTGACTGACCGCAAGCATGGCTTTCATGCCCAAAACAGTTCCACAGATTTAGGCTGTGCGGCCGTTCTATCTTCTCCTGTCTCCTGTAGATAATTGGCTTAAGAGGCTGTGGTAAGTCCAAAAACTGTTATAAAAACTACATAAAAATATATAACTCATATAATACAATGTTTAACCTATATGTCCAACATATCCCCAGATAGCTTGGATCTGATACGCTCAATATGTCCGAAAAGCGCTCAGATGACACGAATACAGTTGGATCGCCATGGGGTTAAACAATAGCAAGGGCTGATGAGAGATTGAGGAGGGACGGATTGAACCTAGCAGGGCTGCGTATGATGTTTGGCGGCATAAATCCCATAGCAGTTCATACTTTATTTGAAAATGAACCTTGTAGGTACACTCTCAGTCCTGGAAACCTGGAGATCTTGAAAATACTAATTTACTCACCCAAAGCACATTACCACAAGATGTCTCCCGTAAACTACTGCCTGTAAAATGTCTCCGCTATTTGAAGCCCCGGGTTATACACTGAAACTGATCCACTGTGTGATAAATGTTCACAATACATGAGGCACTTACAAATATCCTTTTTAAAAAAAGGTATGTCCCCTTTTATCATCTGCTGATTTTTTTCTCTCCTTTCTTCTCTTTTCTATCTACCTCTTTTCTTTTTTTAGCTCTATAAACCAGTCGATCTTCTGCTGGACACATTTTCCACACACACATACCACATCTATTAACATATCAATAAAACATTTATTAAAATAAATAAATAAAAAATGGCATTATCAATAAAATAAAAAATGACATGTTTGTATGTCCAGTCCATCCTTTTCTGCTGCCATGTTCAAATCCAATCGCCCACCCAGTCGAAATCTTGGAACAGGTCTTGGTCTATTAAAGGTGATTCTTCTGGTGGTGTTAGAATGGGGTCCAGTGTTGTAAAAGCTCTGTCGACATGACTGACGTCCTCTGGTCCGGCAATAGATGGTGCAAATGGATGTATGATATTCTTAGAAAATAACGCACTCCAGTCTATTTCCTGTTATAAAATAAAGAAAGATTGAAGGAAAAAAAAGAAAAATAATTAATGTGTGCCACAATAAAAAACTCAGAAATAATGGACGTTATCTCTACACATCCACACATTTAATTTATACAATATGGACATACTTTGAAAAAAGGATGTTTCTTGATGTCACAGGCACCAATCCTGGCTCTTATACGTTTTCTGTGATTTTTATTCATAAGCTGTAGAAGGGGGAAAAAAATGTAAAATATTTTATCTGAAAAACTTAGAATTAAAGACATTTTCTTGCAGGTTCTGTAAAACCTGCCCTTTCAGCTCAGGCTGTATACGTTAATACCGAGCTCAATCAACAGTAGTCACCATGGCATCGTGTTTAGTGTCCAGACATTGCTCTGCCCTGATTGATGGCATGAGTCATGCTTACTGCTTGTATTTATTTAATTCACCAAATAAAGTGTAACGGATCGCCTGGCACCCCGACTGGGTACCTCCGTTGAAGGATGCTCCTAGCGCTTCCTGAGGACTCCAAGCACTCTGGCAGACACCACAATCACCGAACCGGAGAAACAAATAAATTCTCCCAAGCATATGAATGCTGTAGACAGTTGAATAGGAAACCATACAAATAGGTTTACCCTCCTAGCAGTCAAACTGGAACAGCATACAATAAATCCTTCCCCCAATAATGAGACGACACTTCACTTTGAGGGTTAAAACAGGAACTCCTGTGCTGCCACACCCAGCCTGGTTTTTATTACAGCCTTTCACATACAGGACCGCCCACAGGGAGGTATAAAACAACCAATCACATATCAGTTACATCCCACGTATTCCCTCCCCTTATCCTGAGAGGAAACTCAATTACACATACAGTTAAAACATACTTTCTACCCAACTTTCATAACTTTAAAACCATACATCACATTCACATAAAGTCTGGTCCATAGTCCAAAGGCAAGAGGCGGGCAAGCAGCCCCCTCCAAGGATACGTGGCGAGGTCGGTTTCGCCACATAGAGGTTTAACTTTTTTTATTCTGTAACTAGATCCATGTGTTTGTGATTGCTTATTCTGCTCTGTTACAGCCAATCACGCAGTTTTCACACAGGACCAGCTGTGTTTTCAGAGCCTTACCACTCAAACTGCCCGAGCCCATATTCACACACACAATGTTAGCAGCTACAACAGAGCGGAACAGGCAGGGGCACGCATCAATCGACCCACAGAATAAAAACTGTGTATATACTATGGCGCAATGTGCATAACTAATGAAAATAGAATTCTTCATATATAAAAGTAAACAATATTATTCCCTTTTTCCCCCAAATTTCCAAACCTCCCCAATGCCTTGACCCTTTCAGTATACCTTATATGTCACTTTCTAACGCCTGTCAGAGTTCAAGCAAGATGATGGGTTGTATGATGTAAGACGCTGAGCTGTGATGTCATACATCATTAAAGCCATATGAGCTGTGTTGTTTAGAAGCAGAGCTCCATGCGTAATCTTTAATCCTGGAGCTTCCAAGAGCTACAACATCACCATCTGCTTATCTCCTACCAGACATAACTACTAATATAACAGCTCTCAGACTTCCTTCATCCCAAGGCAGCTCGTCGGCAATACACTCATCAACAGTGATTGGAAATTCTGACCTCAGCTCACCCAATATGTCAAAATCAGAAAGCACTAAACACGCGTTGGCAACTTACACTTTTTATTATTGAGAGTGCTTCTAAAGACAGGAACTCCGGATAGTCAGCTTCGGTGTTAACAACCTTATACGATATCTCTGTCTCTCGATCTTTACCTGTAAAAGGAAACTAATAGAAAAAAAAAAAAAACATTTAAGATGCACATTGTAAGATGCAGAAGTTCAATTTTGTGACAAATTAATTATTCACTAATTTATTAATTTATTATCCTGCTAGACATTGTCACACACATACAATAAAAATCAATGAATAATATATACTGCAATGAGTCATGAAAAAATAACTTATTGATGTAAACCATTATACACTGTGTCAAGATGACAATAGTGTTTATAGCACTCACACTCATGAGAGCCCATAATCTGCTCTGTATAAATGGCCCACACAGAGAGGGCACACAGTCTTCTCAAACTGTGACAAAGACAGCGCCCACTGTGCAGGGCTGGCCTGGGATCTATAGTGGGTAATGTCTCTAATGTAAATGTTTTGCCAAAGCAGAAACAATATATTTTATTTAAAGAAATTGAGAGAGAGTATTAGAGAGATAAAATCAGTTTTGATAAAGTGGAGAGGGAGGTATTGGTATTTATATTTAGATAAGCACTATAATAAGCTGAAGTGGTTATGGTGCTCAGGGTTGTCCCTTTAAGCCTAACCAGTCTATAGTTTGAGATACTATCAGTTTCATCAATGGACTGGATGACATCACACAAGGGATTTTGGTTTTCAAAGAAGAAATCCTACAAATTGGTAAAAATATGCTATACCTACCCTTCCACACAGCATGACATAAATTACTACGCCCAGACTCCACCAATCAACAGATCTTGTATAGTGTTTCCTCTCAAATATTTCCGGCGCCATATATTCCAGTGTGCCACAGAAAGTGTTGGTTCGATCGTGAAATCCCATCTCTAATAAATAGAGAAAGTATAAATGTCCATTGGTAAATACACAGTTGGTTTATTTTGCTGATATACAGTATGTTTTTTTTATTAATTTCATGTAATTTTTTTCTAATTTATATTAGAATATTGCTGCAAGTAGTTAGTGTGTTGTATCTGCAGATTCTCTATGGAATTCCGTACACATTTTCCCATGGTTTTTGTTGTGGACAGAATATTATCTAAAGTAAAATGCCTATTTACTCTGCATAACAATAATCAGTATTATTCAGTGACTACTCAAAATGGCCGCTGGGAGTCACCCCCTCCCATCGTGTAACCAAGATGGAGCTGGAATCCGGGGGAGAATTTCATGATAACCGTAACATGCACACCCAGTAGGATGTGCATTGAATAAACCACCTAACATCTGACCAATTATTGTTGTATTTTTCTCTGTTATCTGTAATTATGCATGTGATGTATTTGTGCTTTATAAGGGGCTCCCTGCCCCCTGATTAAACATTCCTGAGTATTTCATCAACCGAGAAACATGTGTCTGGTGTGATTTACTATGGAAAGCATGCATGCACCATAACCAATTTCAGAAGGGGCAGATACACAAAACTGATCAAACACTTGATTTGATCCTTATCGGTTTTTATGAATCTGTATCGTGTTCCAGCATCTGATCTGACTAGTGTTCCAACATTTCCTGAACCTCTAACTGGATGTGAATTCGTACAATGGCCCCTTATTTTATTTTACATCAATATTTGATTTAATTCCTATATTTCATATATACTTTATTTTGGACTGCAGTTTAATGTTAAATGTCTATGGCTAATGTTAAATTCTGTAACTTTGTGATAAATGACTTGAGTTAAATATAAAATTATTTTTACCGTGTTTGCTAAGACCGAAGTCGGTAATTTTGGCGTATCCGTCCTTGTCTACAACGATATTCCGCAATTTGAGATCTCTAGATTAAAATGCAGAATAGGAGTTTATTATTTTTTACATATCACTAAACGGTACCTGGATTACAGGGTTTTCTTATTTAGACTAAATAAAAGGTTAAATTGAAGGACTTAACTAACATATGATAAAGTTAACATAATAACATAAGTAATTAAACCACAGACAATATTTTAATCACAGTACAGTAAATAACATAGATAACATTACTGGGGACAATATAACTGTATTCCAGCTTTAGTTTTTCCTCTACACTTACCTGTGAGCAATATTTTTTTTATGTAAAAATTCGAGGCCAAGCACACAACACGCCGCATAAAACCTGTAGAAAATACAATAAATTGGTTTTATTTTAGTGAAGGAAATTACGTTTTTGTACCATTGAATGGTTTCATGCCACCATCCTGTGTCGCTCTATGCTCAGTCATATTTCCTGCATTGTCTTCTATCTTAGGTATTAACTGTCAGTTTTTATCATTATCTGTCTAAGGTTCAATGAACTTGTAGTCCAACTTAAATCACCAGCTGACACAATTGTGTTTGGCGTTCTAGATATGTGGTCATAATCCCCAAACTATACTTACATAGCTCTGTTTTCTGTAAAAGCCACCACGTTGTTAATAAGAGTTGACAGTAGGTCCCCACCAGCGGCATATTCCATCACAAAGCAGACAAGATCTTCAGTCTGGAAACTTGCATACAAATTCACAAGGAATGGGTGTCGTTTGCGGCTTACGGTCTGAAAGATGTTCTTCTCATGTTTAAGACTTGAAAATAAAAAGGGAATAAGTGAATGAATCAGTTTTGTGAACATCAAATAGAACTACCATCCAAAAAATTAACAAACAAACTAGGATTTTAAGTATTCTCCATTCACTGACTAGTCAATACAATCAGATGCAATTATCTTTCGTTTTTTCTGGACTTTTAGAGCGAACGTGGTGTTTGTACGTTTGTGGTCAACAAGTAGAACCTAAATTAAAATATATATATATTTGTTAGATAGCATTTGTTTAGACACCTTTTATTTCTCACTAGAATTGGAATTTACCCAAAACCCACCTTTCCAAAGTGTCCTCTGCCCAGCACAGAGAGACATTGGAAATCCTCGAGGCTCAGTTGTACTCCTCGCTGGATGCTGCAAAGAAAATAATTTTTTTTTTTTAATATTTATAATTACCTGTATAGCCCCTATCCTGGTGAAAAAAACAAATGCCCAAAACAAGTGCTCCTATTACACACAGTGTAAGTTCATACCATGGGTCCTCATACTGTTCCGGGTCTTGAAGGACACTGTTTTCCTGATTGGACACTCTACCATCATGCTGAGATGTATCACATGGCACGTGGTCTGAAGTGTAGTCCATAGAATCGTCTTGGCATCCTCCATAATCCTGGAAAAGAAAGTTAAACATTATTAATAACAACGTTCCATTAGCGCTTGTTGTAATAAAACAGTTGAGGATCCAATCTATGTACTAAACCCAGAGTTTAAATATGCCCATGATTTTATAGAAAAGATTCTACACCGAGATTGCAATTATTCCATGTTCATTAATAATGAAGTTTGTGCTACAGCTGAACAAATAAACAAAATTAGCAAGTTAGAAAACTTTATATATCTTTACCCGATACAGACTTTCTGGGATCACAATATGATGTCCTGCCTGATCGCTGCAAAAAGGAAAATCTTTTGGCTCAGAATCAGTGTCCGATGTTACTACAGGAGAAACGCTTTAAGAAGGAAGAAAACAGTATTTATTTAGATGGCACCTTTTAGATCTGATATCATCACATCTTTATAGTCAGAGTGTCTTAGTGGAAAATTCTGCAACATCCAGTGCAATGTTAAAGGGATTCCCCTGGAATATCTATCACTAGGGTTGTAGATTGCCATGTTTTATAATACACAATGATTGTGTATTGTGTGAAATCAATTTATTAATTACAGATGGAATCCAAAGGACCTGCCGTGATTAATTACTGTATTTCACTCTGGTAACAGGAGAATTCCACATTCTGCTTGGAAGAACTTTCAAGTCCCATCAGTGAAAATGCAATTCATAAACGTTCTGTAAAAATATTTCTCTCTGATAACCTTACTTGTTACAAGCAAACTGCAGACAATGTTACATGACATACAGAGAGACAAACTGTAATAAAAGACATGCTTACATTAAAGGGGAGTAAATAAGGAGTTTATGGTAAATGTGCACCAGTTTTAACAGCATTGATGAGAAATATGAATATGTGAAAATACCTAATTGACCATGATGACTCTGGGCTCAGAGTGATAAATTCTGGCACTGGAGGACTGTCATATATTCTATCCTCATCTGACTGGATAATCTCGTCCATATAGGTATCGAAAACCGGCGGTGATGTCTCCACGCTCTCAGTGTCAAATACTGGAAATGAAGAATTGTCAGATTTTATATTATTCTCTGATGCTGATTGGATGGTCTCTTCCAATTTGGTATCTAGAACCGGCGGTGATGACTCCACGCTCTCAGTGTTAAACACTGGCAATGGAAGACTACCAGATATTATATCCTCCTCAGATGCTGATTGGATAATCTGTTCAGGATCATTAGCTACAGCGGGCACTGATGGAACCACGCTTTCAGTGTCCGATACTGGCAAAGGAAGACTACTGAATATTATATCCTCCTCAGATGTTAATTGGCTGGTTTCTTCAGTATCGGTATCGACAGAGGGCGGTGATGGAACCACGCTCTCAGTGTTTGATACTGGCAATGGAAGACTACTGAATGTTATATCCTCCTCAGATGCTGATTGGATAATCTCTTCAGTATCGGTATCTACAGCCGGCAGTGATGGAACCACACTCTCCGTGTCCGATACTGGCAATGGAAGACTGCCAGATATTATATCCTCCTCAGATGTTGATGGGCTGGTCTCTTCAGTATCGGTATTGACAGCGGGCAGTGATGGAACCACGCTCTCAGTGTCTGATACTGGCAATGGAAGACTGCCAGATATTTTATCCTCCACAGATGTTGATTGTATGGTCTCTTCACTATTACTAGCGACAGCGGGCAGTGATGGAACCACGCTCTCAGTGTCCAACACTGGCAATGGAAGGATGGCAATAGCTGTATCCTCCTCTGGCGCAGGCTGGATGGTCTCTTCTGTAGATGTAACAGAGAACATAAAATGAATATTGTATATGATCAGTAATAAATAATACATGAAAATGGATTTACAATCCAGAAACAAAAAAGGAAAACTAGTAACAAAATCTCCAAGCCTAGAACTTTGTTTCAGTGTATTAATTGTTAGTCAAGATTTACATATTATAATAACAATGGCTCACAATAATACATTGAAACCAGGTTTAATGTTGAAGAGGACTGGCATCCAATGAAAATAATGAACTTCAGGTAGGTATACGTAATTTAATCTGTGTGTACTGTATATGTTATAAGATGTACATCTACATTATGGTTGTTACAATGGATGTACCTGTCAAGCTCGGCGTAGAACCAAAACATACAAACTATAACACAACAAATAAACAAGCCAAATACCGATCCTCAGAATGGTCGGGTAAATGGTAGAAAGCCTCGGTGAAGAACAGGAGAGATACAGATAAACACTATAACCAGCCAAAGACAAAGGATACCAGAGATCAGAAGAATCGAGAAAACAGTAAAAGAAGAAACAAGGAACGCACTCTTGGGCTACTAAAACCCCAACAGGACAACGTGGACTGGGAGAGGTTAATATGTATATAGGCATTGCATATTTTCTATTGCCCCACGCCATACTAGAATTATGTATGATTAGTGGGCGAAAGAACACCATCTTTGTGCGCCTAATTCACCCACCCATAATGCTCCGCGGTGCGTGAGTGTGTAGCATCACAGAGAACATGGGTAGGAAAGGTAAGAGATCCTAACAGTACATGTATCAGTCTATCTACCTATAGGAAAATGAAACATGAAATCCCTCACTGGTTACTGAGCGCATTTACACTGCTTGACAAGTTTTCTATCACACGGGGGCTAGTACTGGGGTACAAGGGTTCACCTCTTGTCAGTAACCAAATAATAACCAAGTCTCCCTGACAGATACCTTTAAAGTCCCCTGGGCGGTTTGCTATTTAATGCGAGACATGTTAGACATACACTTACCTTGTTTTTTGGAGAAGAATTTCCTAATTGTCTGAAGTTTTGTCCTTTTCTGGATGAAAGGACTGGAAAATGTTACCTATTCCAAAATAAACCAACAGAGTTAACTGTGAGAAGTAAATGATAATATCCTCATTGTGCCAAACCAACATATAAACAGACACACAAATGGAAAATAAACAGCTTCAAATCTCTTCTTCTACAGCTAATCACAATAAGCAAAGCCCTTCATTTACGTAAACAGTTAATCAGTTGATACAGTGTCCTTTATCTCAAAATGAGAACATTTCTAAAGATACTATAAGCTGTCATATAAGTAATATGACGTATATTGAAGGGTTTATTCGCAAAACACCGAATTGTGTGAAATGAAAGTTAAGCTAAAAATTCAAGATGTGACAATAGCTGACTTAGGGAATCATTTCAAATCACCTATTTTTGCCTAAAATGTGGCATTTGATCAATAGACTTCACAGTGCCCTTATATTTGTAAACTTTGGTAAATCTGTAAAATTGGGGAAAAAAAGAAAATTCACCAGCTTTTAATTGTACAGTTGTGTAAATGATTCGTCCTTCTGTTTCCTAAATTATTAAATTAAAATAGGTAAATAACTATAAATTGATAGTGGCCAGAGATTGGCTCTCACCTTGATGAAAAGGGTGCCCTGTGGCTCCAGTTGTAAGCACAGTTCCTGTTTCCGGTTCACCAGGAATTCTTCCAACTTCAGTGTCTTTGTGGCACACAGTGATCTCCGATCGTGCCAATATAGAGAGAATTCCAGCTCCCAAGACTATGTACAAATTAAATGAGCAATAGTTATTTAAAGGAAAAAAGTTTTCTTCTATAAACCCTTTTATTACCAGGAATGTATATTTCTGACCAATCATGTTGTCATCTCAAACAATTTTCACACATTTTAACCACATTTACCATTTTCACATTAAAAACTGACAAACTATTTTCCATCAATACGTAGAGGATGGCAAATGAATAGATATAAACTTGTCACATTTTTGGCCCATCACTAGCCACACTACTAGTCTTCCATGTGTGGGCTTGACACGGCAGGACTTGCTCACTGTGAGAGATTGATCACAGTTCATATCAAGTTAGGTGTACAGAGCATTAAGCAGACCCAGACACAGTGAGTATGTAAACTTATAATCAGTCTGCATCTATACATATTCTATCCACATGGCAAGCTCATGTATTGGGGAAAGTAGGCAAATAAACAATGCTATTAGATAATGCTTGACAAATCACTACAACCAGAATCCGTAGTGGCTAACAATTTCTACCAAATAACTAGAAAATGCAATATATCGCTGATTTTTTTTTAATACAATCTCATAACAATTTCTAATGAAAGGTAAACCCAATATATAATAATTCTAAATTCATAACTGGCTGAAGACACATTAAGGTCCTAAAATGTTTAGAAATAAGAGTTCCCGTTATACCGGCTTAGACAACTCTTTACAGCATTTGCAGATTTATGGATTAGTATAAATTCTTCCTGGGGCCACCAATGGATGTTAATTAGGCGTGTAATATTCCTACTAACAGAAAATAAAAATAATAATAATAATACAGGCATCCACTCAGCCTGAAAACTATCATCTAGATGGGATTTTTTGTCCCTATTTTCCCCTTACGGCAATATTTCTGAAAATCATTTTCTCTCTCTAGGGTGAATATACCTGAGTTTATCTAAATTCGTACCTTATTTAACTCCAGTTTAAATGTCTCATTCCAGGATGGATTAGACACAGTTTTCCAACTGGTTGAACCCACTGGTACCTGGTCAATTTTCAGCTGAGCACGGACCTCGTCTGTAAGGAAATTGCAGGAACTCAACTTAACAGGATAAGAGCGTTTTATTCTAAAGAACATTTCCTATTGATAATGTAATCAACACGGCCACGGTAAAAATCCAGCTGGCAATATAAAGCTTCATCTATTACCTTTAACCAAAGCTCTAGGAGTTTGATTCCCCCCATGCTTGTCACTCCTAGCTGTAAATACCTTGATATAACTGTTTATCACATCTCCCTCCCTAGGCCCATTTCCTATTCCATCTCTACTGCAAGCCTCTACAATTCTACTCGGCTCAACCCACCCGCCCCTCCTCCCGCCCACCCAGGTTCCCCCTAAATCTATAGCATGCTCCTCCAGCTGTTTAAAATTCTCACTCACTTGCATCTTCACTCCCTCTATATTCTACCAATAGCTGCAACTCTGTTTCCTTATTTAGCCATCACTTCCAAATTTCCCCTGCCACCTCTTGTCTCAAATCCCCACGGTATGCTTTAGATTGTAAGCTCACGGGCTATCTACCAATGCACTTTGTATAAAAGAGCTTAAATGGCAAGATTTCATCTTACGGGCAGGGCCCTCTCTACCTTTTGTAATTGTCTGTGTATATTGTATGTTCTCCACTAATTGTACAGCGCTGCAGAATTTGTTTGTGCTTTATAAATAGCAGTAATAAATAAAAATAAAATAAATTCAGGGAGTCTATTCTCCTGCACACCCTTACCCCCCCCTCTCCCCCCCCTGGAAAAAAGGAAAAACTTGTAGTTGGCCAGGTGATATGGTTGGAATATAAACAAGGAGATATGAAATGTGAAATAAAATAACACAAGAACTCCTTAACGAAAAACATGTAAAAAATTATATTTTTGTCCTCTGCCTTTTTTGTTTGGTGAGTAATAGTAGAGGATGGAGTTTGAATGATGAGTAAGTCCCAGTTTCGATGTGGTAGAGTAATTATTATTATCATTTATATATTCCGCAGCACTTTTACAATTATATAATTGGGGGTCGACCTACAGCCCCCTAGTACCGAGATATAATTATTCAGGTTGATTTTCCTTTGAGTGGCTAAGTGGGAGAGCAGAGGTTCGATACCCCAGATATTGAGTTCTGTTATTGAGCGTCACTGGACACATAATGGGAATTATAAGATAAAAATCACTGTACTGGAAAAGCCAACAGTCTCTTGGATGTTCTGACTGCCGACACGGTTGTTTTTTCTGATCCGGCTCATTAATGAGAATCTTCCTTGATGTGTCCTCCTTCCTGGCAGAACATCTGACGGGTCTTTTAGTCTGCCAGGTACATTCTCCAGAATATTGTGACAGCCCTTTACTTTCACTTTCAGGGTACCTGTCAAACAATCAGAATTTATATTGTAACAATGACTATCACATTTTCACTTGTGTCATCACAGGAATATATTCACTCTCCTCTCACCAAATGTTTACTCAATACATTTCCTACAATAATCAAATATCAGATTCCCTTAAGGATTTCACCACCCCTCTATCATCTCTGTAAACCGGCATATTTATAGAAAGAAATAGACCTTCAGCAACCATGAAATATGCCTCTTATGTTAAAGGGAACTTCATGGTTGGTCTAAGCAGGAAACACAGAATATTCAATAATAAGGCATCTTTATCGGATATAAACCAATCAAAACAGAATTTACACACAGATAAAAACTCAGTAGGTTCACATAGTCCCTGCTCGATCCTCAAACAAGGTTTATCTCACGTTTGCCATTAGAGAGGAAACCTATATTATTTGTAGATATTTCTGAACACACACAGGAGTAATTCAGAACCAGAATGTAACAAGTCCACACTACACAAGCTGTAACCAACAAGGAGTGCACTTCTGGATTAACCTTTACACTTAGGGAGACTCTAAGAATATGCAAATAATGTAAAACAGAATTTCATGAAAATACTGGGATTGGACAAATCCTTAGTAACATGACAACTACACATGTTCAGATTATTATACATGGTGACTGTAACAAAACGTGTAACAAAAACACCCCAGTTAACCAGTATAATGGCTGCTTATATACATATGTGAACTCAGACTATTTGTTGTTTTACCTTCTGACCATGGCCCTGGGATATATGGCATTTGAAAACACTATTTGTGCCCTGTGACAAAACTGGAGATTGTGCACAAATATGACTATTGTCCATATTTTTTATGATTCCCTTGATTGTTGCACTGTTCCCCATGTGTTTCATCTGTTGGTCCGGCTGGATAGACTACCAGACAAACTGTGGAGTTACTGGGTGGCCACCATTTCATGTATCAGAGGCACATGGTGAGAACAATGGATGGCGGCCATTTTAACTCACAGACACTGTTTTGACTTTTATACACGGTGCCATCTCGCCGGTATTTGGTGCACAAAGACATCGTTCAGTAGTTTTAAACTATACAGCAGGGGACACATTTAACAGTAATTATTTTTCGTATAGCCTGTATATGTTCTGGGGAATCTGCATTAAACTGTATCTTCCAAACTACTGAACGGATCTGGGTGAATTTTGGATATGTGGTTCACCCATATCCCCCGGTTCCAATGATATATTTAATGGGGTTACTGCATGTTTTGGGGTCCCTGTGATATGTTTTATAATATTGTATTTTCCAGCCGGTGATAATTAAGTTAGTCTATTGTGTTGAGATAATTGTATCACAGGCAGAGGGGAGGATTTCTGATGTAATGAATGGGAGTGTTAGCTGTGTTGTAATGTGTTGATTGGTTGTTCTTCAAAACTCTGTGGGCAGTACTATGTTTGTAGAATCTGAATAAAAGAGGCTGTATGTACCAGTACAGTCAGTTCTTCTTCACCCTTCAAAACGTAGCTGTGTTTCGTTGTTGAAAGGGAATTTGCAGCATAATCACTAGCTCTTTTCAGAGCTCTGCCTCTCTATTGCTCCAGGGATCCAGCGGATGGGACTTCACCTCTCCCCTACAACCCACCATCTTGCCCGGAGGTAGGACGTCATTAACAGCAGATACCCCTCACTACCCTGGGTAGCTGTTACAGTGACTAAACTAATCTTAAAATATTATATATTTAAAAATGCTGATGACAGATAATGTGTGTGCTGGTTCCATAAAGTTATCATGTTAAAGGACCACTTTATGCACCCAGACCACTTCGGGCACCCAGACCACTTCAGCTTAATGAAGTGGTCTGGGTGCCAGGTCCATCTAGGATTAACCCTTTCTGCTGTAAACTTAGCAGTTTCAGAGAAACTGCTATGTTTACCTATGGGTTAATCCAGCCTCTAGTGGCTGTCTCATTGACAGCCGCTAGAGGCGCTTCCGCGCTTCTCACTGTAATTTTCACAGTGAGAAGACGCCAGCGTACAAAGGAAAGCATTGAGAATGCTTTCCTATGGACTGTCTGAATGCGCGCGCGGCTCGTGCATTCAGCCGATGACGGGAAAGGAGGTAGAGAGTCCCCACCGCCGGTGGAGAAAAGGTAAGGGATTATCCCCTTCCTCCCGGCGGGAGGGGGACCCTAAGGGTTGGGGGGACCTAGAGACGCTATAGTGTGAGTATGTTTTCCTGGCACTATAGTGGTTCTTTAAATGTCACCAGTCACCTTTAGATTTGCATTTACATCATACACAATAAACTCTGCTGGAATATCAGTAGACTAACTGCATGATCACACCAGACTTCACATAGATGGACACATGCTCTGATACTTCAATGTTAATATGTTTTTCTTGTTTCCTGCAATGACAGATCTTTCAGGGACATAATAACTTACCCGTTAGTGCCGCGGGCTTGGATATGTTAGAATTAAGGGACAATTCCTCGGTGGTAATACTCTTCCTGGGATGGCTATCAGGAAGTTCTTTCACTAGTTCCTCCATAGAATATTTAAGGAGGTCCAGCTTTTCATTTGCCTGATGTAATATTGATTGAGCCTGTTAAAAAAAAAAATTATGGTAAATAGACTTTATCTGCTGGCAAATACTGGGTGGGTCGTACTTGCATGGCATTTATAAATGGTTAACATTCTATATAGTGCTCAGAGTATAAAAACTCAGGATTAATCACTAAAATCTGGAATGTAGCAAATCAAAATCTGAACTGCAAATATTAAAATTAAAATTAGTGATTTGGAGAAATTCCATCTCGGGTTTAGTCACTGTGTGTCTATGTTTATCTCAGTTTTGTAATTCAGATTTTAATTCCCTACAAGTCAGAGTTTATTGAAAAAAACCTGTAAATAACTTAAATGCTGAATGTAAAACAAAAGACCAGGTAGCACGGATTTCCAGAGATTGAAGAGGATATAACGGCAGATCAATGCAGAACATACATGTTAGTGGCTTTTAATAAAACTAATGGGAATTAAACAATTGGGAGGATTTTAATTAAAACCATTATAGAGACAGAATCAAATACAGAACAAATGGCCCAACAAAGACTTTAAACAATATAACAGATAATATAAATTTATAATATAAATTTGTTTGCGCTTTATAAAGAATAATAATAATAATAATAATAAACCATGGCTACTTGGCTAATGCCAACAAACTGTAATTCCCAACCCCGGACAGACATTGAAAGCCCATTATTCGTTCTGGGTAAAATGGCTAAAAGAATAAACTTTATAACTGACCTCAACGAGTGGCTTTCCATGATCTAATGCCTTGATGGCACGTTTGGCTCCTTCAGCCACGGCACGCTCGATCACAAAACGGTGGCCCAGCTCCTCAATGCGTTTCTCCAATGCTCTTATAGCAGGTGTTGCTAGGAGACAAATTAATACATTTTATTATATTAAGGGTGAAAAGGAAATCGACACGGTAGTTAAAGGTCTCTCAGAACTAAACAGGTCATTTCTACAAGGTTTCTCTGCACTGTTTCATACACAAACTATTTTAAAGGGACAGGTTAGACACCCTTTATGGAATAACTCTTATAATAATTTTCTTACATTGTTTGCATATGAATCATGTATTCCCTTCGTCTGACGCTTCTAAGAGCTGTATGTTTCCCCATAAAACCATAGTGTGCAGGGGATTATGGGATATGAACAGTTTTCTTATAGCTTTCTATTAGAACACAAACCACATTCATGCTCACCCTATCTTCAAATATGACACACAGATCACCACGTTTAACAATAATATTCCTTTACAATAGATACAGTAGATACAGTATACAGGACATATACAGTAGATACAGTATATAGGACATCACTGAACCTCTACCTTTATATTGGAGAATCAACATGCGCAAGATTTCAATTTTTCTATTGCTGTCATGGAGCATTTTCTGAGCATCACCGAGATGTTTCTGATCCTGAAAAAGGAATTTGAAAATTCTAATAAACAAGTAAGATAAACAAAAACTGAACTTTTAGATTTAATTAAAGCGAGTTTAATATTCAATGTCTCTTTAAACATTAAAATCACCCAGACCACTTCATCTCAGTGAAGTCCTGTCGTGTTAAAGGACCGCTCTAGGCAACCAGACCACTTCAGTTTAATGAAGTGGTCTGGGTGCCTGGTCCAGCTAGGGTTAACCCTTTTTTATAAACATAGCAGTTTCAGAGAAACTGCTATGTTTATAAATGGGTTAAGCCTTCCCCCAAATCCTCTAGTGTCTGTCTCATTGACAGCCGCTAGAGGCGCTTGCGTGATTCTCCTATGCGACCGGCATTATGGGCACAGCTCTTGCCGCACGTGCGCATTCAGCCGACGGGGAGGAGGATCAGAGGCAGAGAGCTCCCCGCCCAGCGCTGGAAAAAGTTTTACCCCTTTTCCCCTTTCCTTTAACCCTGCGATGTAAAACATTTTTTCTGTAAATTGCAGGGTTAAATCCACCTCTAGTGGCTGCATTCACCACCTCTAGGACAGCTAACATGAAATAATTTGTTACTGTGGAAACTATACAGCAGTTTAAAGTACCCCCTTACTTATGGCAGCCAATTCCTTGTGCATTCTTTATCCCCTTCGTTATCATGTCTTCCCTTTGTTTTGTTTCTATTTTACCTCCCATTCACCCCCCCTCCAATATGTTCTTCTAACACGTTATCTCGTGCTATATCTTCCGGTAAACACATCAATTCAAACTGATTTAAAAAACAAGAGCGCTGTGTGTTTCTTTGGGTTTAAAATTGTGTAAAGTGCTTCATGGCTGATCGAGTGGAAGGAAGAGCCTCGAACTATTCAGCTGAGAGAGCTGTAGGTGAACTCCACCAAATGACGGCTTAATTTCAGTCAATCCAGGAGCAAAAAGAGTCCATCAGTTCCTGGATCTCCAGCCTGCTATCAGCTATAATTAGCTAGGATGCCATCACGAGTGGGAAAATGTCTCACATTGCAAAAAGTGGAAGGCATTTTCTCAAACAAAATTGTAAAAATATAGTTGTTGTTGTTTAATATTAATTAAAATGTATCTGACTTACTTTGGAGCGGCCGGTACAATACGTCTTTATTAGCTTCTCTGCTTTGCTGTTAACTTTGAACTCATCTTCCAGTTGTTTCTCCAAGTTTGTTAACTTGTCCCCATTTGGTGAGGAGCATGAGTCATTATCAGGAGCAACTCGAGTCTGGGGACATTCTGCAAATTATTAATATGACAAAACCCAAATTACAAATGTCAGCAGACAGTATCACTCGATCGAGGTTAATGGAAGACAGACATTGAAAAATAAAACCTTCGTAGCTGAAGCCAGTCATGATAGCAGCATCTGGTCTACAGTAAATCAAGAAGAGGATATAAAAGGTGAAGGTAAAGTATGGTGTAAGCAGGTTAATGATGTGTAATCTGGTCCTTTTAATGGGATATGTGATATGGATGTGATATATGGTTACACATTTACATATATACATAACACACACACACAAAGTGTTTTAATGTACCTGGATGTTCCCCTGCTCCTTGCTCGATAACATCAATAACTTCAATAACTTGCGTTCCGCTGACCTGAAAAGGCAGAAATAAAAAGAATCAGAAACCCACAGGCTCTTTGCCAGAAGAAAAGGCTCACAACGTGTTTGTTTCTCAGTGTGTGCTGTCCCTACTAACACCCACTATGTGCTGGTTTATATGGGAGGACTCTGGGGTCCGCACCTTGGGTCCTGTCTGCTATGGTAGACCCCGCTTCTATTGATCTGGTGCTGAGTGTCTGTTCCTGTGTCTCAGTGCTGTCTTTCATTCCTGATATATTTATTATATACATATACAGGATATATGTGTGTGTAAACCTCCTAATAACAATACTCTATAATACTTCCACATGACATACCAGTAACTGAAATGAATAAAGGGCAAGGAGTTGATACCACGAAAACTGATACAGTAACCATATGCTGTCACTGTGTTTGGGACATTAAATACTGAGTCATGAAAGGGTTAAATATTGAGGAAAGAATAAAATGACAGATCTGTGTGTAACCCCCCAGTGTTCCCCATTAATAATCATATAAAGGGTCCCATCTGTATTCTCTTTCTCCCCCATCCTAGACTACACTGGGGATTTAACATGATAAAACTCTCAGATAATAATATGTAGAACTGGAACCTTATACAGAAAATCAAGTCTTTTACTTACATCACAGCGTACACATGAAAAACACGAGAAAATAGTTCTACTATCTCCCATCTTTAGCTACGTTATCACCACAGCAGCAAAGCAGTGTCTACTGTCTAAGCAGTGTCTACTGACTGAACTGTGCTCAGCAAGGATGATGTCACAGTGATGTCACAGGGAACAATCAGACTATCTATAGCTATTTCTGCCTTGCAATGTCTACTGACTGAACTGTACTCAGCAAGGATGATGTCACGGTGATGTCACAGGAAACAATCACACTATCTATAGCTATCTCTGCCTTTTTTTTTTTTTTTTATAAAATTTTATTGAGTAGTGACATATGTTACAGACATGGCAGCATGTGACGATATAGAGTATAATATGCATGACAGATATGCATGTGACGATATAGAGTATAAAATTATATGCAAAAATGACCAGACAATCTTTTGGTTAAGCAAAGTGTGTCGATACTCATTAAGTCTAGTAAATAGTACATTGTTAATGAATAATAAAACACAATGGTAATTCATGTTGAGGTACAAAAGCAGGGTACAATGATAAACTGAATATAAACTGAACACAAATTAAATATAAACTGAACACGAATTAAATATAAACAGAGTATAAGTTAAGTATAGTATCAATTAAATATAATATAAATTGATAGAACTGATATTGCAGTCTGGAAAACTGATATTGCAGTCTGGTACTGGGTGAGGTGTCGCCCCTACAAAGCGGAATTTACCCCATCTTATGGGGTCTCCTTAAAAACGGTTGGATCAGTGTTATCTGTTCTAACCAATGAAAGGTTATGTAGCCAGCTTGCTATTGAAAGAGTAAGTAGTTAAGTTAGGTTATGAGTACCTACTGGTTGTGTAACTGCATTCCCCCTCAAGTGCATGGGTTCACTGTTCAACTGTTTTCACAAAGTGCATCCATGGGCCCCAGGAATGTATTTGTGTTTTAGAGAATAATGTACCTCTTCCAGAAGGTGAATGAATTCGACATTATGGATCCATCTCTAATCGAGGGAACTATTGGTTGATTTCTAGTTCACTGGAATGAGTTAATTAGCTAAAGTAAGCAAGTGGGTTATCAATGATCATTTCAGTCTGGGGAGTGGGAAATAGTGGAGGAGGAAGGGTACTGGTGTGTTAGGCAGGGCAATCTCAGTTACTACTTGTTTCAGTTTGACAATTCTGGACCAGTAGTTGCTTATTATTGGGCAAAGTTACCAAATGTGACCTGTTGTCCCTTTGGGGTGAGAACATCTCCAACATGCTTTCGATGCGTTAGGAAAAAAGTGGTGTATTTTAGATCGGGTATGATGTCACCTGGAGAGTCTTTTGTAATTTCCCTCTTGAGTATGGGTGCTGATGCAAGTTTTATGAACATAAATGAATATATGTTTGCAGTTTGTTTGGGATAGTGTGAGGTTGAAATCTGTTTCCAATGAACTGGTGAAATTGGGTAGAGATGCTGGACCTTCTCTTTGCAGTATCTTATAGAAAGTCGAAAAGTGTTTTGCCTTGATGTTACAGGAGGTACAGTGATTCTTAAATTCTGTGTTTTATTCCCTTTTAAAAGGCTATGGGTGAACGAGATAAAGTGGGTGAGTTGTGAATATCTATATTGTTGAATTGCTGTGGGTGATGTATCTGTCATGAGAGTGTTGAGTGGCTTAATACCGGGGATGTCAAGTAGTGAACTTAACGAGAGTTATAGAGAGGTGGCAAATGCTGCAAATGGGGTAGAAGTGAGGTGGGGCAGGAAAAGTGGGTTACATACGAGTGGATACAAGGGAGAAGCTTGGGGGGGTGCTCGGTAGCCCCCTGAGTTGTATTGAGGATAGGTATTATGGTGGGGTGTGAGGCATGGGGTATTAATAGGGATGCTCTCCCTTTTTGTTGCTATGGAATGGTGAGGAGTAGGGTTTAAAACTCTGCTTTTTCCAAAAGACCCCAGTTTTTACAATTGTGTGGTTGCGTCCATTCATAGATTCTAGTGAGCATAATCGCCTTATAGTAGAGTTCTGTATCAGGAAGACCTAGGCCACCATGATACTTATGACATGTTAGGATTCTAAATGAGAATCTAGGGTGATTATGCAACTAGAGAAAGTGGATAAATTATTTCTTCAGTTCTGAGAAGAACAATTTGGGTATGGCTATTGGAAGGGTTTGTAGTAGATCTAGAATTTTTGTGAGTACGTTCATTTTTATAATGTGAATTATACATAGCCAGCTGAAATGTGGTTTATGTCATTTGGACAGGTCTTGAGAGATGGTTTGCAAGAGAGGTGGGAAGTTTATTTTGACAAACTCCCCTTTTTACAGGAGTTTGCCACGAGCTCCTGGAGAAGCCTTGTTGCCAGCCTCCTGCCCACAGACTATGAACCCTGTGGAAAGTAATGTAAAAGTCTTTGTGTGTGCCTTTTTGGAGTCACATGGCCACACTTCGAACTTTCAAAGTGGCTCTTCGAATTACCGAACAACCGCACGAACCAGAGACCACCCTGGAGCTTGTTAACACCTATTAACAACTTGGAACATTTCTCACCGCAGTGTTCTAATTGTTCGTCTTGGTGGCTGCAATTCCTATAGGCAGCCATCTTGTTTGCATGAATGCAGGCATCGGTGTTTGGGCAGGAATCTTCTGGAACTAAAATCGGCTACAGAAACTCCCGAACAACACTGGACTTCCATCATTGCCTGCGTTCGGTTCTATACAAGTTAGAAGAGCACTTTTCAGTGGGATCATTCGTCTGGATGAAGGGAACATGCTCCAGGGTAAGACTATTGACTGTTCAAACTACCGAACTAGACCAATCGCAAGCCCTGATTTTCTGGAACATTTTTGGGCATGGGGCCATGCTTGCTATCAGAGGAGGTGACATTTGTGGGAATATCATGTGTTTTGGGACTTTTTAGAAATGTGTGTTTTTTTCTGCCTGGAGATTATTGGGTTAATGCAGTATCTGATTCAATTATCTCCCAGGCAGAGGGGAGGGATTGTATGCCATGGGTGGGAGTGCCTTACATTGTAAATATGTTATTATCGGTTTACAAGTTTGTGTCCCTCTCCCCAACAAGGTCCATGTGGGTGTACCCATTGCATGGGGATTGTCATAAAAGGCCAGTGTGGCACCATTAAAATCTATTCCAGCTTACACTCCAAAACTGTGTGTAATCCTGTTATTGGAGGAAAAGAAGATTTACTCTTGTGTCTGCTGTTCCCCTGTTCCAGGGGATTCAACGAGGAAAGTCCTTGTAAGGACTAGAGCTCCCAGGACTGAGTGTCGTCCAGTGCATGGGGGTGAGCAAATACCCCATTCCCACAATACCACATACATATCGCCACTCATACACCTCCCCCCCCCATCCCGCTACCCCCATAGTTAGGGGCAAACATAGAAGACGGACTGACACTATCACCCTGACTGGTAAACACCTATGCCCACAGACACCAAGTGGCTGATCTCCCTATGTATTTAGTACCCTCTTGAACAAATATCAATGTATATGTTATTACTGCTGCCCTACATGCCACTATCCTGACAAATGTTGATACTTGTTTTATAATTTTATGTACAAACCCTCCTCCCCCTTTTTATGTATCCCACTGTGCATTAATAAGATAACAAACAAAAGAAAATTCAATAAAAAGAGATTGACCAAAAAAAAATGTTTGTAGAACATTCCTGGGGATGGTTTGATTGATTCTGAATGTTAGAAAATGTTTTATTTTGGATGGGGTGTGTGGAGTTTTGCATATGTTTTATAGGTCATGTTCTCCTTCTCCAAACTCTTCAATCGCTCGGTCTCTGTGACTCTGTCCTCTCATGGTTTTCCTCCTATCTCTCCCAACGCTCATTCAGTGTCTCCTATTCTAATGATACCTCCATCATCATCGTCCTGTCTCAGTTGAAGTCCCCCAAGGCTCTTTCCTTGGTCCCCTTCTATTTTCTCTTTACACTGCCTCTCTTGGCAAGCTTATAACCTCTTTTGGATTCAAATACATCCTGTACGCTGATGACACCCAGATATTTCTCTCCTATCCAGACCTCTCTCCTGATGTCCTGCAACGTATCATTTCTTGCCTTTCTTCTATCTCTGATTGGATGTCTTCCCGCTTTCTGAAACTGAATCTTTCCAAAACAGAACTTCTTGTTTTTCCTCCTCCTAATATTAATCCTCCTCTCTCGCTCTTCCTTCAGATTGGTGGTACCCACATAAGCCCATCGTTACAAGCACGTTGTCTTGGTGTTACTTTTGATTCTGGCCTCACCTTTGAGCCTCACATCCGGTCTGTTGTCAAATCATGCCAATTCCACCTCAAAAACATCGCCCGCATCTGCCCCTTTCTTACACAAGATGCTACTAAAGAGCTTGTCCATGCTCTAGTAATCTCTCGCATGGACTATTGTAACTCTCTCCTAATTGGTCTTCCCAATAGCCGTATTGCCCCGCTATAGTCTGTAATGAATGCTGCCGCCAGACTGTTGGGGATAAAATCAGCCCGGGCCCTTTGTGGATGATGGATATTTGCCACCTCATTTAGAGCTCTGGAAATTGGAAATGAATAGCAGAGATGTGTTCAATAACCAATTCAAATTATTATACATCAGTTATATTTATACCCCTTTTTCATAGCAGGATGGGAGTGGGGAAAAATGAGCATATGGGTGTGACAATTATGACAATGACATAGATTGTTTTTCACAAGTTATGAGCAGCTGTTTCTTGTTATATAACGCACGTATATTTGATAAAAAACAGATATTTACAAATACCAAAATCTTGGACAATTAACAAGAACATTTCAAAATCAGTATGGTCATTCTCGTAAATGATATTAGATAAATTCTTCCCAGAATTGTAGATACAATTTTAAGTTTAAATTAACCCTTATATGAACAGCTAGGATAGATAGTGAGATGGATATTTGTATCTACACAGACTGATTTTCCTCTCTAGTCGGTCATCTCACACCTCACCCCTCTGTCAGTCCTTACAGTGGCTCCCTGTATCCTATAGGAGTCAATTCAAGGTACTAACCCATACCTA